TATGAGAAGAAATAATATTTATAAAAATTGCAAAACTCACTCACAAACGAGATATAAAATTCTCGGTTGAAGTAGAAAATGCGTTGGATCGAAAAGAAGTTTCGCGAAGGTACTATAAAAATTACTCCAATGTGGATAGAAAATAATTTTGATGTCTTAATAACGAAGCTAAAGAACTTTTTTATTGCCTTACTGGGAAATATAATTAAGTACGGGGACATTAACACGTAAATCCATGTGACGTGAGCAATGCGGATAAACGATCCTTACTACATATTCATACATTTTTCCAATTAATGGAATGACAAACACGAGCCCGCGGCAAGTACGTGCGAGCGTGAAAGAAATCGGACAGACAGTGTGAATAACGAGACACGATGTCCGTTTGCATTCGCCATAGAGTAAACTCTACAAAACACTACAGTCTCTGATCTTTTTGAAGTTCCTCCGGGTCTCGAGGTTCGAGTTTAAGGCGGTAAAGGTGACTTCTTATGTTAATTTGTTGGCGGTGCGAATATAATGTAACTGCGAAACTTTTTCCAATGAACTTGGAGAACTTTCCTTTTCGCATTACTCGCTCTCCCTATTTGGCTTTGAGGAACATCTTTGGCTCATTCTCGTAGTCAGTGAGCTGTATGGTTTAATCATTGATAAACCAACTATATCGTGCGAGGTGGGATATTCCTCAGGGTGTATTTTGCGAAAACAAACAATATTAATTAAAAAAGTTACGAGATCAATCATTATATTTCCATTTAAAAGGATCATAAAAGGAATTTGTTTAAGTATAAAACGAAATGAAATATCTGTATAATATAGATAATAATATAGATATTGTTACAGATATTGTGTTTAATACATCGAAAGAAATGAAATGATACATAAAATGATTAACGACAAAATCCCATTTATTACGAAATAACGAATACGTTATAATTAAACGATATACAATAATGAAAATTAATAAGTATTCAATGTACAACGTAATATTAAAAGCCGATTACATCATTGAAATTTAGATTGTACCTTTACACAATAATTTAATAATTATACCGAGATTAATGGACGTAGGAAAATAGATTGCTGCTAGGTACACTTACGATAATTTGTCGATAATGAATTAATCAGAATATCAACAAGAATATCAAGTAATTTAGACGATTGGAGCTTATATTTTTATTCATCAAGTGTATTGATTTACAGAATATTTTAAAGCACTTTTTTTCATTTCGCGGTTATACATTTTAAGATAAATCCGATCAGTCAATTTTTTATATTAAAATTTAATTTTAATTATGTCACATGATGTAATAATTTCAACGATTAATTACATCATCAGGAATTGATCTTGAAAATAAATCAATAGTGTGTATTGACTATTTGTTGAATGGCGCATCGCGGCATTCCGTCTATTTGACCGCAGAAAGAGAGAAGAGGCGGACGACCAGATGAGGTTATAAGCCGCAATGTAACTCTCGACACTTCATTATGTAGCGAGGTCACTGAGCATGAAGATCATTCTGTCACAAGATCGATAATACGTAGGTGTCTTCCCGACCAACATGTATATTATAACACTCGAAATGGATATCGCCCGTGCGACTGCCTGTCATTGTAGCTTCTAATTAAAAGTCATCGGAAATACGATTAAACATACGAAAACAATCACTTGTTGTTGTTTACGCTATGACAAACCGCATCGGATAACGAATTATTCGTTAACCTTAATGTATTTCCATATATCAGCTAAGCCGTGTACTGAATTATGGTATTTTTGTTTCGCGATATCGCATGGTCTAATTTTTTGTTGAAGATGAAATTAATTATTTAAGGTAACATAGAAGATTTATTGTAGATAATAATGCATTATGGATCGAATTGCGATAATCTTTATGATTTACACGAGTAAATCAGACTTTGAATTTCACTCGAATAAAATGAAATTGTATGTGTGCCTGTATATACGAGATAAAAGGAATACATTGAATAAAGATAATTCCCTTTTAAAATTTGTGCTCAAGTATGAAATCAATTATGGCTTTGACGAGAATTGGCTATTGACAATTAGCACTTTTAAAAGAGATCCTCCTTTGTTACAAATATTATCAAATATTGTTGTTTCTTCATTCCTTTCTTTGAATTCCTTTTGATGATAATTATTCTCATTGAGATAAGGCTATACAACAGAAAATATCACGGAAGGAAAAGTCTCTCGCAACTTTTCTTATCTTTGATATTGTCGCAACAAACATTTTAACGCGAAAAAGCAGCAAGCGCAGCTATCGGCTAAATATAGTACGGTGACCGCTTTATTGCATGGCGGCGATTAAATGTAATTGAAGATGAAGCGATGGAAAGCTTTGCAAGTAATCAATACCACGCTACAGTAACGTCTGTATAAAAATGAGAAATAATGTGTATTTTCGGGTACGTATACACACACACACACACACACACACACACACACACACACACACACACACACACACACACACACACACACACACACACACACACACACACACACACACACACACACACACACACACACACACACACACACACAACACACGTATAATCATTCCCTAAAATAAACTTAATTGTCGTGGTTTCTAAGAGGACACTTCTACGTAAAAGCATTCATTTGTCTGTATATATGTATATATATATGAACAGATGAATGCTGTTTTACGTCTGCTCTTAAAGTAGAAATCACAACAATTAAGTTTATTTTAGGGAAAGATTTCATATTTCAATATATATACATTAAACCTATATAACAGATGAATATACAGATTCATTTCTATGAAATCTAGAGCATATATTTTTTCTTAATAATTATTCGACAGATAAGAATATTACATAAATTAGGTTTTTTTAATTTGGCAAATATAAGACAAATTGTAAAAAAATATTTAAAATTTTATATAATATGTAATAATATTATATAATTTTATTTAATGTTCAATTAATTTATAATAAATAATTATTATTATAATAATTTATATGAAATTTGATATAATATTTAATTATTTCGTACACATATGTGCACGAAAAATCTTTGTTGAGAATATAAAATTTTACTCGTTTACTCATTCTGTCGATAATATTTTCCGTTATATTATTTTTACACAAAGTTTCATATTATATTTAAAATATATTTAAAGAGTTCAAAAGTTATTGCTCTCATGCATTCGAATATTTCTCTGCAGCTTTCAACGTTTTTATTCTACAAAGTGCAGATTTAACCGCAGGAAACGTGCCAAGATATTTTAACTTCAAATTTTTCCAGCACTTTTAATGATTGAGCATAACGCGCAGGGCCGTTTGCTTATCACCGAATAGAGCGGTTGAAAAATACGAGACAACTGTGCAATGTTATTTTCGGGCATCTCTATTGCGATTACATGGACCGTGCGAGACAGAAGTAATGGCAGTATTAAATGCCAGGTTTAATTAGACGTCCGATCCTACAACGGCTACAGAAAGAAATTAATTAAGGCAAACCTTGAGTTGTTACGTAGTACGTAAGTCAAGGCACTTAACTTTTTACGCGTCTTCGAAGGAGTAATGGAAAGCTCGTTTCGCGCTTATCGCAAGCTCCGTCTTAGCCGCAGCTGGCTACGACTGGGATTGGTTGTATCTATATCTACACAGAAAGTGGATCGTTTGTGGGACACACAGCACGAGAAGTCCCTTCGGCGCTGAAGATAAGTACTTTCTCGCCTTGGCTCATGTCGAAGCGGACGCAGTCGCGATCGTGGGGCTCGTTAAGCTTTTGGACTAAGTTTCTGCCCGCGCTGCGAAACGCTGGGCTAAACCGAGATTCTGATATTTCCTTGATGGAGGTCAAATTTGGCAGTTAATCTCGGGCGAAGCCCAGGGATTTATGCCCGGCGATACGCGCCGCGCGATATCTTACTTTGATCGGGATTAAAATACGAGCGCTCGCGCGACGTTTCATTAATCCGCGAAACTACATCGATCCTGAATTACGCAATAATTTAGATATCTTGCAAGCTCTTTTATGAACATCGATTAGATCTTTTTCAATTTCAATTATTGTTATATGTGAACTATTTTACGATATGCATATATTCGCTGCTGCGATAATAAAAAGTTTATTCATATGTCGATCGAGACGAAATAATAGCATTATCTTGAAATATTATGCAATAATGAACTCTCTACAAATTGGTAGAGGAGAAAGTGATATGGATACTTATTATAGGTGACGAATTCTAATAACTTATTTATAAAATCATTTGTTCAGTAATCCATTATGATGCTAATATACCAGTATACAAT